ACGATTCACATGGGAGTGGGGAAATAGACGAACCAAGAGGTCATCATCATCAAAATACTAGATTAAGCAAGGACCAGAGTTGCGATTTGCTCCTAAGTGTAGAAATGGAGAGAAAGGGAGAGTGAAACTCTCTCAAATGAATGAAATCACAAGGGGGGAAGTAGCGATTCACATGGGAGTGAAGAATAAACCTATAGGGAGATCATTACTAGTGAGAAGGTCCCCTACCATCTACTCTAAACTTAGAAAAGTTTCTATGGAGAGAGAGAGAGGGGGGGTGAAGAAGAAGAGATTGAGATATGGATAAGAGATCATTGGGAGAGAAGGAGAAGGAAGGGAAGGGGGGGAAGATAAAGAAGAAGAAGAAAAAAAAGGAGAAGAAAAAGAAGAAGAAGAAGAGGAAGTAGAGAAGGAAGGTAAAGTAGGAAGGAGAGGAAGGGGAAAAAAAAGAGGGAGAGGAAGAAGAAAAAGAAGAGGAAGAGCAAGAGGAAGAAGAAAAAGCAGAAGAAGAAGAAAAAGAAAAAGAAGAAGAAGGATGATTTTTTTTTTTCCACTCACCTCCTTGGTGTCTTGGAGATGAAGCACCAACCTTGATGAAACTTCTTTCTTCTTTGCGCAAGTATCACCTTGGTTATGGCTTTCTCCTTCCTCAAACCCTTCTCCTTCCTCTCTCAACCTTACCCACGCTATGATAAACTTCTTTCAATATGGCTATGAAGTCCTCCCCTCTAGGAGGGCTAATGAGACTCCCTCTAGCCTCTCCCTCTTCCTCATAGCCTGGGGGCTATGGCGGATCACCTCCCTAGGCCATCCTCACTACCACTAACCTCTAGAGTTCCTTACCGTAGCTCAAAGTCTCCTCTAAGCTCCCAAACTGGCAGGGGTTCCCCTGTCCTCTGTCTAAGTGAGAAAAGTGCTTCCATGAGCTCACTTGGGCAGCATGGGCGCTCCTCATGCAAATGTGAGTGTGACGGACTGAATCCTTAACTTATGTAGGCCGAAACCAGCACTCTGGCCAGCCCATGTCCCTTGAGGTGAAACGAGATATCCCCAAAACAAAATCCAACCACTAGGCCCTTCCGGAGGTACCCGGATCTTATTTTGGCCAAGTACATGCAGTCCGAGTGGTTGGTACCAACTCGGATTGCCTCTTGGCCTCCTTCAGCCTCTTTTTCATTTTCAAAATGCTGCCCCCTTGAATCCTAATGCCCAAGGGGCAACCTCACTTGAGAGAAAAATGTCTAGTGAGCCTTTTTCTCGATTTTTTAGTTTCTACCCCATTTTTGGTAGGCCGAGGTATTTTTTCATGCGTCCGATGTTATTTCAGCCTTGGAGCTGGCTAAGATCCAAGGCCAGCAATATTCATTGCCACACCCAAGTAGTCCTTGCTTCAAATTTGAGCCCCTAAGCTCACTTTTTCAATTTTTTGTGCATTTGGTCCTCTTTTTAGTCAAAATGCACAGTTTTGTTTTTTTTTTTCTCTTTGATTTCTTTCCATTTTGGGTTGCCAACTCATTCAGGAGTTGGCCGTTTGGGTAGGCCTTATCAAAAACGGCCATATTCCCTCCTCCATGGATCTGAATCTCATATTCATAGCCCAAAAGAAAAGTGGTCATTTTTCCTTTGCATTTTTTCTTGATTTTGCATTTTCAATTCAGATGTTGTGGAGATATTGCCCCAAGGGCCATATCTCTGCATTTCAAATTGCCCTCCTTGAATCTTGGTGGGATGAGTTCATAGTAGGGATCTGCCAGTCCCTACTGTGCAGGTTCCAATAGGCCGACACATTCTTCTCCACTCTTTTCTCCCCCTTTGTCTCATTCTCCCTCAATTTTCTCTCATTTTTATTTTCATTTTTTTTATTTCTGATGTGACAACTGTCAAGTAGCTGTTGAGTCCTTTTCTATGCCATGGATCCTTATCCATGGCCAGATTCAGACCGAGCAGTTGGCCGTTATATCTCGGATTACAATAATGACACCCTCATGCTCATAACGAACTCCGTTTTGCCTCCGTTAACCTTAATTTTTAGCCCCCTTTGCTCCGATTTTCTTTTGACAACCTTTTTTCTGTGTGTGAGCCTCTTGAAGCTCTATTCTCTCATGCCTAGCTAGTCCGAGATATCTCGGACTGCTGGGCCACCCTTCCATCATTATCATTTTGCTTTTTTTTCTCTCACGGTCCTCCCACTTGATCCTGTGCTGATATTATTCACCGTCTAAATTTTGATCTTGACAGTGTCGTTTGCTATGTGCGGCCATCCCTCATGTTGGCTTATTGTTACCTTGGGACAACTCAAGTCCCCGCCACTCTCCCCGTACTAGTTCCATTTTTTTTGTCTCGCCGGTAGTCCCGATGGCGCGTGTCACGTTTTTCGACTATTTTTATTTGGGCTCACTTAGTTTCCGGCAACATCCCGGATAATTTCTCGTTTTTATTTTGGGAACTCCTTGTTCTTGGTGGTTCTAATATCCCTTCCTTAGGTGCCCCATGCATGCCAATTATTCTTGGCCGCGAGATCTCATCTCACAGTTGCCGTTTACCGTCTTTATTTGCATCATGCCGAAATCACTCTTTTCTAGCCTTTTGGGATTGCCATGACTCATTTTCTCTTAGCATAGGCATCCTTATTTCTCTTGGACTGCAATTATGGTCATTCTCCTTGTCCCACAACCCCACAACTTGCCCCATGTTGAAAGAAAATGAAGCGTTTAATTCTCAAGTGCATCCGGTCTCAATATTGACCCCAGATGCACCTAAAACATGTGTTTTTCCTTCCCCATGCAGTCCGTTGTAGCTCGGACTGCATTCCCCATGCAGTCCGTTGTAGCTCGGACTGCAATAGGGGTAAATTTCCTAGTCTCATTGCCCCACAAATAGTCCAAAACAGACGGAGAAAGAAACAACAAACTTTTAAGTGCATCCGGAATCAATTTTGGCTCCGGATGCATCTAACACGTGTATTTTTTCTCCTCCATGTAATCCGTTGTATTTCGGTTGCATGGGGTCTTGATTTTTCTTGATTTTCTCTGCAAAATCCAGAGAAAATCAAGGCCCCTTGCAACCGTCATATTCCAGAATGTATCTGGTCACGGATGTATTTCCCCAAGTGGCTGCTTTTACCGGTAAGGTCTTTTTCTCTTTTCTTTTCTTTTCTTTTTTTTTTCTTTTTTCTTTTTCCTCCTTTCTTGGACAATAGGGACCTGGCAGTCCCTACTTGTGGCAGTCCCTACTGACCGTCAAGTCACTCACTCACTCCATCTCACTCTTTTTATCTTATTCTCCCACATTTTTCTTTTATTTTCTTTCTTTTCTTCGCATGCCAAGTGTCAAGTAGCTGTTAAGGCCCTTTTCTAGACCCTTCCTCTATTTTTGGCCCTCGCTATGCCCATGGTGCAGTCCGTTATATCCCGGACTGGAATAATGGCTTCCTCATGCCCATGGGAACTTTCCTTTACCTCTATTTCTCTCACACAGTAGGCCCTCCTACTCAGATTTTCTCCCCGAGGCCTATTTTTCACATGGGGTCTCTTATGACAAGGACAAGTACTTCTATTACCCTGTCAATGGACAACACACCGTGGCTGCTGTGAAGGAGTTGGCCGGTGAGCCAATATTCGAATTGTGGAAGATGCACTTGTGGCTAGTGAGAGTCGTGTGGTTCTCCGACGAAGACTTTGGGGGGAATTTGTAGGTCAGTCTGACGGAGAACACAAAAGACAAGATGTCTAAGTAGCGTATACAGAAGGCCGCTTTCGAGGACATGCGGGAGGCATGGGAGAATCAAGGAAGGTCGGTGGCCATTCAAGGGAACCCTTCCGGTAAGGAGGCCGAAAAACAAGCGTTTTTTGACTTCCAAAAGCTGTTTTTGGAAAAGAGTCCGAACGACGCTCACTGGACGATGGCACGTAAAGCGAAAACGCTCGCCGACAAGGACCACGTCGCTGCCATTGGCAATGCATTGAGGCAATGGATGCCGCTTGTGACGGCCGATGATGAGGTTTTCCTCAAAGGCATGGAGTTGTACGATAAATGGGCTGAGGGAAAGTTGTTGGGCGGAGACGGGAAGACGCCCTTGTCGAAGCCGGGCAAATACATGCCAGACAAATCTCCAGGTCTTCAAGCAATTTTGGAAATGGGCGCGAAAGGGGCGGCTGGTGAAACGAAAATGGGGTGGCTGTACCGCGTCCCGCCGCCCCCGACCAAAAAGAAAACGCCGATCCTTGACGACATTCTCAGGCTGAGGGGAGTGTTCGTGCAATCGGCAGGCGGGCATCTAAAACGTCAACATAAGCCTGGAATTAAAGACATGGTCGCGACGAGGAAAGTGAACTGCATGATGCTCCGCATGTTTCACTACATCTTGTTCCTTGAATCCGAGGAGGACGCAGAGGTTTGGCGGTATGAGAGCCAGTTTTTTTGGACCGAGGAGCAGCTTCTGGTGGAGTTCGTGTCGTGGGGCCTCACGAAACAGGTGTGGGTCGAACTTCAGAAGCATTTCCACGGCGTGGTGGAGTACGTGAACACTTGCAAACGTTGTCTTCCGTACGAGAAGGATTCCCTCAACGAAACGAAGAAAATGTACAATGATGAGAGGTTCCCTAAATCTTTCAAGAAGTCTGTCCGCTCCATCTTGCGACGAACGGAGGAAGAAGTGCAAGACACGATCAGGGTCAGCGGGGATGTGAGACACATCAAATGACACAAGATCAACCAGGTGACCAGCCTTATTCCTTTCAGTTGTCCAGCTTCCCAGGCTCACACTCGTCTCACTAAGATCCGTGAGATTGTGCAACATTACGTGTGCAACTTGTACGTCCTCGATTTGTGTGATCCCACACTCCTCTCAAATTGGCAAGAGGACGATTTCGCCTCCTTGCAAGGCGTTCTCCAAACCCTATCGCCAAGGCACTGGGCACTTGTCGTCTTCTTCCCCTCTCGTTGGGATCTCAGTTTCTTGAAAGGCATGACCAAGCTTAGCGTTCATCACGTCAGGACAAGGAAGTAGGTGCACCATGCACAAAGGAAGGTCACTGTTCGGGAAGGCAATATGCTGGTCGAGGAGTGTGATCGTCTGTACGTGGTTTTCAATGACGAGAACCTGGCAGACAACACGGTCGCAGTCTTCCCGACCAGTAGTCCATTGAAGCCTCCCCGTGCTAATGCTCCAAGTCCGACGAAACCCGAGGTGGCGGCCCGCTCGAAAGCTGCCTGTTCATCCGACCCGTCAGGACAAGCTGTGGACTGTTTCGACATGGCAGACGAGGACAAGTTCCCTCGTAGCCAGTGGGAGGACGGCGGCGTGACAAGTGTTCGAGGAGCTACTTACGGGGATAGGGAGTGCAACCCAGCTCATCTAATTGGTCTGCTCGAGAACTTTTGCAGAGTTGGAAAAACTGTTTTTTTCTTCGGGAAGGTGCACGCGTCTATCATGTGGGAGCTCCTGCGCAGCGGTCGGAACGTCGTTGCGTTAGAGGACGAGGCGAAGATGATCGATTACCTTTGCGAGTTCGTTAAGACACTTGTGGGGGACCCTCGCCACCATTGCTCTTTTGTCCAGACCACCAGCGAACGAAACTGGGATTACAAACGTGATATGTATTGAAAATTGTCGGAGAAGAAAAGGATGGAGGCACCGTCTCGTGGCATTGACTGGCGCATGCCGCAACCTCCGTCATCGGCGTCCGGTGGTCAGCATCCTGGAGGCGGTGGGTGAGGTGATGGAGGAGACGGCGCAGGACCTGGTGGAGGAGGTGACGGAGGAGACAACTCAGGATTTGGTGGTGACGAAGCAAAGGGGAAGGGGCCAGGCGAAACGTCGTCGGAACCAAAGGGCTCCGGCGGAAAACGGCGGCGAAAAAGGGTTCGGCGGAAAACGGCGGCGAAAAAGGGTTCGGCGGAAAACGGCGGCGAAAAAGGGTTCGGCGGAAAGGGGTCGGGCCGAAAGGGGTCGGGTAGAAAGGGGTCGGGCGGAAAAGGGCCGGGCGGAAAGGGGCCGGGCGGAAAGCGTAGAGCGTTTGGGAGTTACGAGTCTAGCGGAACTGAAAGCCGCTGCGAAGGGAGTCGTGATTCGGACATGCGAGACGAGGCGGCCCTGAGGTCTTATCAAGTGCGAGTACATTCACACTTGTTTGCGAGGACTTTGTTTTATGACACCGGCGAGCACGAAGTGCTGGAGGGGCCCGTTGCAGGAGTGTTGGAGACCGGGCCTAGCGAGTATGAACGTTATGCTTCGGAGGGTGCGTCCATCGATTTTAAGAGCAAGAGTGCAGCGGATCCGGGGGAAGAAGAGTTGTCACATAACGCGCATGTTGTGCACTGGGAAGAGGAGACTCAACACTGGCCGCCTTGCAAAGTGCTGGATGGTCTCGACGCAGGAGTGTTGGAGACCGGGGCTACCGAGCATCTACGTTATCCTTCGGAGGGTGCGTCCGTCGACTTAGAGAGCAAGAGTATACCACCTCCGGGGGAAGGGGAACTCTCACAGGAAGTGCATATTGTGCAGTGGGAAGAGGATACTCAACATTCGCTGCCTCACAAAGTGCGGGAGGGGCTCGATGCAGGAGTGTTTGAGACGGGTGCTAGCGAGCATCAGTGTCATGCTTCGAAGGGCGAGTCCGTCGATGTTGAGAGCAAGAATGCAGCAGCTTTGGGGGAACAGGACCTCTCATAGGAAGCGCATGTTGTGCAGCGGGATGTCGGGTCAGGCGGAGGTGAAAGCCACTACAAAGGGAGTCGAGATTCCAACACGCGAGACGAGGCCGCCCTAGGGTCTTATCAAGTGCGAGTACATTCACACTTATCTGCGAGGACTTTGTTTCATGACGTTGAGGACAGTCCTCGCCGTAGTGCGTAGCACGCGTGTCCTGTTCAGGAAGACACCTTGCTCCTGCACCTCGTGGAAGAGGGTGAATGTCTACAGCGTGCGGCGACATCTGTTCAGGGGCCCGCTGTAGGAGTGTTGGAGACAGAGGCTAGTGAGTGCGAAGGTCATGCTTTGGAGGAGACGTATGCTGTGCAGCGGGATGAAGAGCTTCTCCAAGGCTCGTGGGGAAATGCCATCAACATCCGGGACACCGATTTGGTTTTGCATAGCGGGTCGTCACTAACGACGCAAGAGAGTGACGTTAAGGGAGGTCAGTGGACGTTTGTGGAAGGCAAAGACCGTGGGCGGGAAGGACGTGCATGGACGTCTGGGGAAGCTCGGCTTCGTGGCGATGAGGAGGGCGAAGAAGAACCCGTGGTGGAAACTCGGTTTCATGACGATGAGGAAGGCGAAGAACCCGTGGGGGAAACTCAACTTTTTGGCGGTGAGGTGTCGGCGCGGCTTCATGACGATGAGGCAGGCGAAGAAACCGTGGGGGAAGCTCAGCTTTATGCCGGTGAGGTATCGGCTCGGCTTCATGCCGGTGAGGTGCCGGCTCGGCTTCATGCCGGTGAGGTGTCGGCTCGTCAGATGGGTTCGGAGCGGACAGATCATAAATTCTCCGTCCACCAGCTGTGGTAAAGAGCAAGGTGATCGAGCGTCTGCCCTCAGTTCTGGTCAGGAAATGGTGCTTCATGAAGCCACGGAGTTGGTTAGCGACTCAGCTGCCATCGAGCTGGTTAGCGACTCAGCGGTGGTCGAGATGCAGAACATCGAATCCTCCGCGGACGTCGGCACAGTGGCGCGACAGGAGGCCGGTTCCCCGCGAAGGACTCCCGAGCATAGTAAGATTTGTGAAAAGTAGCACTCGCGCTCTGTCGATGTTCAGCTCTGTGGTCATCCACATTGAAATGATGAGCTCATATCGCTATTACCACTTCTTAAACAAAAGTTTGTGGGTTGTGGGTTATTTTCTATGTTCTACAGGTGTGAGGTTGTCAATGTCCCTGCCCATGAAGCCTTCACAAGCCATGCGCGAAAAATCGTTTTCAGGGAGGTCATTGGTGGCTTTACCGAGGAAATCCTCGTCAACTGTAGGGTTGTCTAAAAAGGTCCAGATGCCTCGCCTTTCCGAGAGAGCTGTCAGGGTTCTGAAGGCTTGTGGAATAGATAAGGAGGAAGCTTTGCGGAAACATGTGGCTGCATCTATCGAAAGCGTTACCGCTTTGTCTGATGGGTCTGATGACGACGCCAGACGGGGTACCGTCAAAGACCCGTGTCCTAAATACATCGCCAAAGACACATTCAGCAGTCGGGGTTATAAATTTTCTAGAAAAATAGCACACAGTTCTTGATTAGTTTGCCCCGGTGGTTTTGGCGGCTCCTCACACTTGTTCTTAGGTGTTTGTGCAGCTGCGGCGACATCATCTTTTCGTGTGTCGTTGCCTACTGTGGAGCTTAGCGGTGCAGACTTGAGAATTTTGCAGGAGGTCTGCGGAGATTTCAGCAACGGCCACGAGGTGGTTTCCTCGATTCGCAAAGGGACCAGTTCTATTCTATTGAGCAGAAAAAATCTTCAGACTCTTGTCTCGAGAGGGTGGCTTTGTGACGAGGTGGTGGAGTCCTACTTGGCCTTGGTTGGCAATGCTACGTTGCCGGGGTGTCCCTCTGTTTATATTTTCAGTCCGTTTTTCTATACGAAGCTCGTCGATGAGGGATGTCGACATGATAGGGTTGCGAGATGGACATAAAATTTCAACATTTTTACGTACGATATGCTAATCATCCCTGTTCATAAGAATCGAGTGCAATGGACCCTATTATGCGTTTGCGAAGGAGGGTTGGAGTACTACAACTTCCTCCTACAAGACCATGGCGGTTTTGCTTCCGGTGTGCTTGCGAACTTCACGAAATACCTCTGTGACGCAGCACTTCATCAATTTGGTCGACACACGAAACTGGATCTGCCGGAGCCCAAGGTGGTTGTTCATGGTGTCCCTCAACAGTCGGACGGGTCGAGCTGCGATGTTTTCATGCTCGCCTTCGCTTCTTTTCTGACACGCGGTCATTCACCTCCATTTTCGATAGGCCAAGACGACATTCCAAACATCAGGCTGAGTATGGCAGTGGACATAATCCAAGAATCAGAATAATATTCCTGTTTTGAAAATACGCAACGTTTTTTATTCGCAAGGCCATAAACAAAAGTGCGAATCTATTCCCACTTAGTCTAGCAGTCGGCCGACTCGAGCTGTGGTGTTGTTTTGATGAGGTAAAGGATTACAGTGGACGCGTCGATCAAGTGCACGCTTAGATGTCGATGTGAATATCCCAGCCTCGTGCTGCAGTATTTTTTTAGGGTTCTTCATTTCGAGGAACCTTACAACTTTACACGAGGGGTTTTCTTTGACTTTCTTGGTTTTTTAGTTTTTCCAATGCAAATGGCGTAGCCTCGTGCAGCCTGTTTTTTAGGACCCTGCCAACGCTGTGCTGCCTTCGTTTGTTTTCAAGTTATTCTCATTGCTTGCCGCCCAACATCAGCTAGAAGGTTGCAGCAGACGCTTAGGTGAAGTAGATGCTTAGATGTTGATGTGAATATCCCAGCCACGTGGTGCAATATTTTTTAAATGGACGCTTAGATATCGGATGTGAATATCCCACCTTCGTGCTAGCTTTGTTTGTTTTCGGGTTATTCTCCTTATTTCTTGTACGACCACTGCAGCGTCGTGCTGCCTTTATTCGTTTCCAGGTTGTGCTTCTGTGTTACTCATGAGAAATCTTTGTCCTCTTGTGGACATTCTTTACATTCATGCTCATACGACTCGATACTCTGGTTCGTTTAGAAGATGTTGGTGAAAAACATCACTGATTTCTTCTTGGTCGCCAAATTGTTTCGTGCTTATCTCAGAGTTCATTTAACAAGATGTTGGTGAAAAATATCAATGATTACTTCTTGGTCGCCAAATTGTTTCGTGCTTGTCTCTGTGCCCTCCTCCCCGCAACCACCCTCCTTCTTGTCTCTAGTGATGCTGACTGTTGCTTCTATATGACAATTGCGAACTTATTCGGAATTCGAAAATCGATTATCGCCAGAATGTATGTGTGCTTAACGTTATTTTATGGACTCCACAAAATTTAGTGGCACAGTAAATGATCACCAATTTTGTTATCACCAGAATACGTGTCGTAGTCTCCACTGAATGCTGGCTGTTGTTTCCGTATGACAAATCCGAACATATTCGCAATTTAAAAACCATACATTTGTGATAAGACCGTTCATATCTACAAATTTTCCAGAATGATTACCTTTTGTGTTGTTACCAGAAATTTGTTCACATCTGCAAGTTCACAAAAATGATCATCAACTATGTTATCGCCAGAATGTATGTGTGCTTGACCCCTGTGCTTCGACATTGTTTGTCGCTCAAGGATCGATATGTAGCATTCGTCAAAATGGATGATTGCCCAAAATTGTTACCTTCTGCGTTGCCACCAGAAGACTGATCATTTATGCAAGTTCGCAAAAAATGATATGTTGTCGAAATGATTACCTTCTGTCTTATCGAGAAAAATGGATAAATCGTGAAAAAGATTGTCCTTTGTGTCATATCTTGCCAATAGTGAAATTGACTCCTCCATCTTTGCTGGTATTCATTTCTATCCCGATTAAACCACCACTCCCTCCGACGTCAAAAAATCAGTAGCACAGGTTCATTAGGGCCACCCGCAGTACAGACTGGAGAACCACCAGTAGGGCAGAATTAAAAATATGTCGAATCGTGTCCACGATTTACTTCGTGGTCTGAATGATTTTCATTTTTTTTTTTTTAAATCACGAGAAAGATCACGAGCAAATTTACTGACCCTCCAATTTTGGGGGTCTGTGACGCATTCTTCGAAGCGCGAAAAATCGTTGGAGTTGTAGAACTTTCTCTGTTGGCCCGTAAATGGCATTGTAGCATAACCCGAACGTGCCCCAAATCGGCGCGGTGGTTATTTGGAGATCAAAATCATTTTTTAAAATATTTTTGATATTTTTCCTGGAAGGACTAGGAGCAAATCTACGAACCCCCAAATTTTCAGAATTGTTTGTTAATTCTTCTAAGCGTGAAAAATCGCCAAAGTTGCCGCTATCAAATTGCGAGCCTGGGCCCGCCGTTTCGGCCTCTGGTTGCCGCCCTCCCTAAGAACCCGCCGGAACTCAAAGGGGGGGGGGGCTATTTCCTGCTGTTGGAGGGAGTGGTGATTTAAAGCGCCTCCTCATCATTTCCGACAATGCACTGTGCGAAAGCATATACGAATTAATTCGTAGTTCAAGATTCTCTCCTCTACCTTTGCTCGAGGAAATTTTTGACTGGCTTACAACGCCTCCTCACCTCTTCCGACTTCCGCTTTTAGCCTTTTGCAATTTCTGCTAAAAGGGGTGTACGAAGCCTTGACGTATCACTAAAAGGGATGCACGACGCCTTGACGTGTCGCTACAAGGGTTGCTAAAACATTTGATGTGCACTCGTCGTCGTCGTTTTTGCGATTCCCGATGCCCATTCCTTTTCGCTAAAAGAGGTCGACACCGTGTCTGCCATGGGTGCGTGAGCGCGAAATGCAGTTGGAATCTAATATAATGGGAAAATGACCGTTAACAACGAATAATAAATGCTAGCACCTGTGCCGTGAGTTTTCAATCGCCTTTATGTTACGTCTGAAGCAGGACCTTTAAAATGTGCGATGCATAACCCCTACACTTTGATTTTATTTCTCGCTCATCTGGCGTATTGAGGGATAAAGATGCACCAGAATTGCAATGATTCACATTTGCGAGAGTGGGAACTGTAAGATGACAAGGTACTTATGTCCGGAATGTTTTCAAGTTTGAAAATGGGTCCTCCAGTTTTGCTGGCAGCCTCTCTCACAAATGGCATTTTAACATAACTCCAACGTGCACCAAATCGGCGCGGTGGTTGTTTGAAGGTCGAAATGATTTTTAAAAATATTTTTGATATTTTTTGTGGAAGGACCACGAGCAAATCTACGAACCCTCAAATTTTTAGAATTTTTGTGAATTCTTCTAAGCGAGAAAAATCGACAAAGTTGTCGATGTCAAATTGCGAGACTAGGCCCGCTGTTTCGGCCTTCGGTCGCCGCCCTTCCTAAGAACCCGCCGTAACTCATTGACTTACCGTGAGGGCACGGGTGCGCAGCCCAAAGTTTGTATATGC